GAGTGAATGCATGAGTTTAATTTGCAGGTGGAGAGTAGATAAAAGGTGCTGACGCCTCTATTATTCTCTTACTTAGGTGACCCTTACCCTGTTCAGCTGATCCCAACTACCATGGCAGCTGCTGCCGCAGCAACACCAGGCTTAGGCCCACTCCAACTGCAGGTAAGTCAGGAAACAATATGGCAGAGACAAAGGTTAAGTAAATACCGAAACAGCTATTATCCTGTTAAAGCAAAATAAAACTGACTAGTGATATTTGTCTCACACTTTTTTGTTTTTAAATTTCCTTGTGCTGATCCTCAACCAAAAGTTGAGATGTTTCTTTTATGTCTTAGCCCTGTTTTAGGTACTAAAGATCGCTTATTGTAATTTTTTATTGCCTGATATGATTTAACAAAATGAGCTGTAGTCTTGCTTTGATTACCATGTGCCATAATTTTGTCACAGAATGATCCTCATCAAGACTCAAAGAACAGAAAACCTACAAAAAGTATTCAAACAGGTACTTATGGAGCAAGGCAACTTAACAAAAACTACATTCAAAAATGCTCAAGATGCCCAGTATTATTAAAGTACTCTGTAGGTGTCTTTGTTATCCTGCTAATGCCCGCTTAGCTGGGGAAGTGAGGGGAAGTAGACCAAATAAGCAGGTACTTAAATGAGCACAACTTTATCCAGATATTCCAGTTAAGACCTTTTATACATAGTCTTCTATATCCAAGAATGTCAATGATAGCTTGAGTGGATGACCAAGTAATTTTGGAAATTTAGTCTCTGGGTTTGAAAAGCATATCAATAAAAAATGTATTAAAGAGATCTTTTATTAACTATTTAAATCTTTGCATCAGAATCCTGCACAATCTTTCCTAGTTTCTGTTGTTATGGACTTGATAGTTACGGAATTAATAGGAATAGCACATCAGCTGATGATAGGATTAGCCACCCCTTTTAAGAAGCATTATATTTTTCTTCGCCCAAAAGACACAGTAAACCTGTGAAGCCAGATATACAGCACTGGTGCTTCATAAAATTAAATCATATTCATGAAGTCATTGTCATAATAGATGATCTTAGTCAATAAGGAGAAAGATAGTTTTATATCGCAGCATCAAGAGACAGATACATATGGTCAACCAAGGGGATTGTCAGAAGAGCTGGTGGGTTTCTGAAAACCCAGCTGAGCCACACAGGAGGAGTTGAGGCACATTATGTTCCACAGAGGTTAATAATAGTCAATCCTATTTTACCTGTTCTGCAAAAATCTAGAGTGTGAGTCTGTTTCTTTGAGCTGGAAATACCTTGGGAATTGTTGGAGCCATGGGGACAATAAAAGTAACATGACATTTCTTATGCTTTGAAATGGCATCTGTGAAGTATCTACAATATAGAGAAGTGGTTGTAATAGGTAAAACTAAAAAGAGTAGGGGAATTAAAGGAAGAGGGAAGATCATCCAGCAATAGGTTTGAATGTGAAAAAAAAAATAAGAGTTTTAGAGATTTAGAATGCCTGCTTTCAAAGGATGCTAGATGTTCTCTTTTCCTTTCACCATTGGGTTAGCAGTAAACGGCAGCAAGGCGAGATGGAGGCTTCCCCTATGTTTCATTGCAGGATTCTTGCAGAGTAGCTTCGTTAGGCAAACATCCAAACCGCTTTTCTATGGAGATAGCATTATAATATTTGACACACATTTTCATTTCCATCCTTATACCAACACATTCCCTTAAAATTTAAAGATATAGATTGTTTTTTCTTTATCAGAAAACAAGAAAAAGGACACCAAACATGCTCACTTTTGCTTTAAATATAATTTGATCTATAAACAGGATAAGAATCCTTTATATAAGTGGCATTGCCCCCATATGAGTTTTAATTAGGATCTCAGTAAATCATCAGTGGTATAACAAGAAAATTAATAATCTAAAACTCTGTCACGGTAAGCTCTTAGCTACTATTAAAACACACACACATACACATGTTGGTTCGTGATTAAAAAATGAAATTCAAATGCAGACACATCCCAAACTTATGTCATGGCTAATGGTCTGGCTTTTCTTTAAAGTGGAGTGACTCTTACCTTTGCTGGGAGTCTTACATCAGTTTACTCCCTACTTATATTCCTGACACTGTACTCACAGATCCCTGACCTTGACTTCAGCTTTCACCAGAGGTACAAAGTGGACTGTAATACTTCCCCTCTCCTGCTTTAAAATAGCATCCACGTTCTTCTGCACAAACCTGCCCAAATGGGTCAGAGAAAAGCTAACCTCCATGCCTAGTCAGAAGTCCTATCTAATCCTTATCCAACATTGACCCCAATCTTGGGAAACTGTTTCCAGGAGGTTTCATCTCAGTGGAGTATAATGTATGAGGCAGTTTTAATTTTCTCCAAACTCTGCTTTTAATTATACTTGGTTAAATCTCCATTTCTCACCCCTTAATATGCCTTGAGTACCCTCCATCACGTTCAAGTCCCTTTCAGTTACTAAGATTCTTTTTCAGTTATTAAGAAATAATTTTTAGCTAATAACAGGTGGTTTAATTTAAAACATGTCATTTGGCTCTACTTTTAAAATAATTGTTCTTATCTTTATTGTTTTTTTAAATAAAAGTTTTGTTTTTGGGTTTTACTTAACATAATATTACCCAAGCATTTCTAGATTCTTGTGCTAGATTTTATCCTAAGGATTTCACAAGTATTATTTTCATTTCACTCATATTATATACTACTTTGTGTTATGTATTAATAACTCCATTTGACAATGAAGAAAACTTTGGGTCACAGGGTCCAAAATCATTGAGTTTTAAATAATTATATTTGCTTCTCCAAATTCAGGTGATATTATCTGATACTTTGGAAGCACTGCTCCTCTTAGGACTTTTGCTAACATGGTAATCTGCTAATCAAATTATAACAATGATGCTGATTAATTGGCACTAATACAAATGCTCTTTATGAATTGTAATACTGAATAAAGTAGCAGGATTCGTAATGACAGCTATCTACGTTGATTTTTGCATTTTTCATTTCATACCTCTTTATACAGATTACAAGGTGTCCCCAAAATGTATACACACTTTGAATAATTATAAAGGCAGTGTTTCTTAAAACATATTTCATTTTCAAAAATGTAATGAAATATACAGTTATAGTATGTATACATTTTTTGGGACACCCTGTATTTTTGTGTGTCAATTCAAGGCTCTCTTTTATTAACATCTAGATCTAAGAAGGGACACTATAAATATGTTCACGCTCATGGTTGACTTTCTTTACCTACCATTTGTATTTCCCCTTGAAATCATCTTTTGCATAGCCTTCCTTCTTCATGCTTGGGTAATATTATATTAAGTAAAACCCATAAACAAAACCTTTATTTAAAAAACAATAAAGATAAGAACAATTATTTTAAAACTAGAGCAAAATGACATGTTTTAAATTAAACCACCTGTTATTAGCTAAAAATTATTTCTTGGTCTTAGATATAATAATGAAATATTTACCATGCAATAAAAATACTTTACATTTAAATATCATCTTTCTGTGTACTTTTAGGTACAGTTAAAATAGTCTAAGCATTGCCTTATATTTGTTTTTATAGAAAAAATGACTTCTTTGGATTATGTTTATAACATACTAATCAACATTTTACCAAGGCACCATTGTATTTATTTCTTTTATAGTGAATATCTGTCTTTGTCTCTTCTGCGTCATAAGTCTTTCCTGAGCTTCACATACATATGGCCAACTATTTATTGGCTATTAGTTTGTTATTCAGAGGAAAAATATAGATGTTTTCAAACACCAGAAAGAGAACAAAATAAAACTCACCAATTTTTTTCCTTGCCCCCAGCCACTCATTCTCTGGTCTTGGCATATAGCTCAATTCCATCCATTGCTTAACCCAGGAATAAGAGAGCTATACTTAACCCCTCTTCCTCTGAACCTATTCATTCTTTCCAAATACTAAATACATCAAGAATCCATCTTTTTTTTCCTTTGTTATTTTCCTTTGTAATTGTCACACTTCTTGGCCCCAATACCCTACTTTGCTTGCCTAATTTACTGCCATAGCCCCTAAACTGGTCTTTCTGTCTCCATCTCGCCTCCTTCACTGTATACTCTCTATTATACATTAGTCAAAATGATCCTTTTGATTTTAGAAAATCTGATCCCATCTTCCCCTTACTTAAAGACTTTAAATGACTCCCTGGTGTTATCAAATCCTCTCTCCACTCTCCTCTCTATGGAGTCTCCTCTTCCTGGAGCTTTAGCAATATTTTCTTTACCAAGCTCTCTCACTTATCCCTGAGATTGCAAATTAAAACGTCATTTTGCCCTGACCGGTGCAGCTTAGTTGGTTGAGCATTGTCCTGTGCACCAACAGGTTACTGGTTTGATTCCTGGTCAGGGCACAAGCCCAGGTTATGGGTTCAATACCTGGTCAGGGAGTGGAAGAATGCTAACCAATCGGTGCTTCTCTCTCACATCAATGTTTCTCTCTCTCTCCCTCTCCCTTCCTCTCTCTGAAAAAAAAAAAAAGTTAAAAAAAATAAAATTTCATTGGTCTCAATTAATGCAGCTCTTATGTTCCCAGAGCACACGGTATTTCCCCTCTCACATAGCACTTTGTAGAATATGTTTTAAAGCCTACTTTCTCACCTCTACCAGATGGCAAAATCTATGAAGTCAGTGACTCACTATCATTTGCACTTAATCAAGTGCTTGAAATATTTTATGGACTCAATAAATATATATTAAATGAATGGGTGAAGAGTGAATCTTAACATTACACTTTCAATAAATTATGCATCTATTAAGCTCAAATAGCTATTCTGCTTTATAATATTGGAATTAACTGAATATTCATGATTAGTTTCCTATATAAATTTATTTTCATCCTTTAAAAAAGACAATAGCAGAAATACAAATATTAAAAGCATCAGGGGCTCATGGAAGAAAAAAATGTATAGTCTGAATTTAATTCAATAAGATACACATTACATTTTTTACATAAAAAAGTATTCTCATTTAATAAAATAAAAGAGACTTATGAAAACATTATAGGCCATTTGGGGCACTATGGTATTTAAGAAATTACTTTTATAACTGTTTTAGTCCATACTGACTTAGTCGGCTCCCACCTCACGGGGTTCTTCGTGT